AGACTAGACAAGGACACAAGAGGCTAAGCAGGGAAGCTAAGGGAGAGGAGGAGGAGAAAAGTGCGACCGCCTTCGTCAAGAGCAAGAGCAGAAAACAAGGCAAAGGAAATAGTTTGTAAAGGTGAAATGTAGAGGAAACATCAAAAGTGGTTAAAATGGCCAATTATACCCTGGACCCCAGAGGGTTAAACGTTTTTATTTTTTTAAAGTAACGCAATAGTTACTTTTCAAGTAATTAATTACTTTTAGAATATTGTAACTCATTTACTAACTCAGTTACTTTTTTGAAGAAGTAACTAGTAACTATAATTAATTACTTTTTCAAAGTAACTTGCCCAACACTGTATATAACAGACAATCAACACAGGACTACGTAAAGTGCAAGTGTGCAAAAACTGCAAATAAAGAAAACAACGACAGTGCAACACCAGGCAGAATGATACAGACACACAACAGTGCAATACAAATGCACAACAATGACAGTGGGTTGTGCAAAAGACTGAGCACTGTGCAAAAAGTAACTTGGGGGAAGAAACACAGTCTGGCAGTGAGGGCCTGGATGCTCCGGACCTCTTTCTGGAAGGCAGCAGGGTGAAGAGTGTGTGTGAGCGGGGTGTGGTGTCCTCCACAATGCTGCTGGCTTTGCAGATGCAGCGGTGCAGCAAGAGTCTGTGATGGAGGGAAGACATGCTCTGATTATCATCTCAGCTGTTCTCACTATCCGTTGTAGGTATTGTGACCCGATGCGGTGCAGTTACCATACCAGACAGTGATACAGCTGCTCAGGACGCTTTCGATAGTCCCTCTGTAGAAGGTGGTGAGAATGGATGGTGGGAGATGGGCTTTTCTCAGCTTCCGCGGGAAGTAGAGACACTGTTGGGCCTTCTTAGTCATGGAGCTACTGTTGAGGGATCAGGAGAGGTTCTCCACCAGGTGGACATCAAGGAATTTGGTGCTCTTGACGACCTCCACAGAGGATCCATTGATGTTAAGTGGACAGTGATCTCTCTGTGGTCTCCTGGAGTCAACAACCATCTCCTTTGTTTTGTCCATGTTCAGAGAAAGTTGTTGACTCGACACCAGTCCGTTAGCTGTTGCAGCTCCTCTCTGTATGCTGACTCATTGTTTTTGCTGATGAGACCCACCACAATTGTGTCAGCTGAGAACTTGATGATGTGGTTTGAACTGTGCATTGCTGCACAGTCAGCAGAGTGACCAGCAGTGGGCTGAGCACACAGCCCTGAGGGACTCCAGTGCTCAGTGTGGTGGTGTTGGAGATGATGTTACCGATACAGACTGTTTGAGGTCTCTCTTTCAGAAAGTCCAGGATCCAGTTGCAGAGGGAGGTGTTCAGGCCCAGCAGGCCCAGTTTTCCAATCAGGTGCTGAGGAATGATTGTGTTGAATGCTGAACTGAAGTCTATGAACAGCATTCATACATATGTGTCCTTATTGTCCAGATGGGTGAGAGCAAGATGTAGGGTGGTGGGGGATAGGCGAACTGCAGTCATAAAGAGAATACGTACTTCTGAAGTATTTCTACTCTGGTTTTCTATAAAGTATGAAGTATGTGTAAAAGTTAAAGCTGGCTGTGTAGGATCTGTGATCTGTTTTTAGCTTTTTCTTCCTCTTTTTCCATGTTAAAAATATGGCATTGCTGTAGCAGTTTGTTCTCTTGCCTCTCACGAGACAAGGACGTTTCTAGTTCCTCCTATAGACTTTGAAACCTCAAAGCAGCTTCTACTTTCTATTTAGCTTTCTGAGCTGCAGATCCAACTCAGCACACCTGCATTTTGTTGTACTTGTTACAATGACTAAAGATACTCTGATTAAAAAAGCAACAAAGTAACAGAGAGATGAAATCATTGCTCCTCTTGTTTCTTACAGGTAAAAATTGATTTATTACTCATTAATGTATTTTTAATCTACATTGTTTTAATTCTGGAAGCTTGTTGTGAACCAATTCAGCATTAACAGAAAGGTTTTTTTCAAATTAACATATTTTTTAACATCCTGATACTGTTGGACAATTAAAGGATCTTCTCTGTTTCTAAGATGATTTAATAACAGTTCTGGTGTAGTCTAGACAGCTTCCTGATTTTGCCACAATGCTAATGAAAAGATTTTCAGGTTTTTTCAGGCCACAGTTGATAAAATAAAACGAAAATATATTAGGATAATTAGCCTCATAAGAAGAAAAATTGTGAGATTTTGTAATATTCACTGTAAATCAAATTACCCATACACAAAAATAGGACTGTTGTCTTGTTTACAAGTGACAAGCATAGATTTTGGGGTTATAAGACAAATAATTATACAGCAGACAAAACCTTATATGTTCAATTCAAACCACGGGCACTTCTTTAATAGATTAATTTGAATAGATAATTAAAGTAAGTCAAGATCTTTTTGTAGAACAATGAATTGAAATTGAATTGAAGATTTTATTCTGTAAAGACACAGAATATTTAATTTTACACTCAGAAATTATTAGCCTGATGATCTGCTGTCATATGATCTGCTGTCATATGATCTGCTGTCATAGCTTACGTGTGTGGGCTGAAACTTATGTTACCACAGAATTAGTTCTGCCTGTAAACCATTCCCTACACACATTTGAGTTTATGGGAAACAGTTTAAGCAAGTTCAAATGGCTTGTGTTTAAATGAAATTCCAAATCCAAGTCCTCACTCACAACTCTGTAGTTCTGATATACTATTATCCATCTATCCATCGGTACATACACCTGATGGATTGGTAAATGAAAAGACAGTGTTGACTAAAAAACCTCCATCTGCACCAAAGACTAAAATATCCTAACCTACAAGATCATTAGTGGACCCCTGGGTATGTCACACCGGGAGAAAACCCCGGGGCAGACCCAGGACATGCTGGAGAGCATCACGGTCCTGCACCCTCGTGTTTTGTGTTTTTGGTTTAAGTTTTATTCTGTGAATTATGGTTTTTCTGTTTTTATTATATTTATAGTTCCTGTTTTTTAGGTTTCTGTTCAGTTTCTGTGTTCTTGGTAAAGGTCTAACTCTGTTCTCCACGTGTTGTATATTTAGACTTAGTTTTCTGTCTTTACGCCTACCCTGCTCTTTTTTCAGGTCCCATGGTTCATGTTCTGTCTCAGTGTCGAGTCTGCATTTCTGGGTTATGCTTCCTGTTTTTCTTTGACAGTCTGTGTCCCATGTCGATGTGTTCTGCTTTGCGTCCTTGGTCTTGTCATGTGTGATTTTCCTGCTAGACCTCAGTGCAGCATTCGATACTGTCGACCATAATATCCTATTAGAGCGA